ACTGTGGACACCCGTTGTGCAAGTACCCGGCAAGGGCGTCTTGCTGCCTGCTGAGACATGCGCGTTGCTGCTTCACAAGATGCCCCTCTTGCAGGAAGAGCTCACATCATCCCTGCACAGGAATGTCTTCCTGTCTGCGCTGGTGGCTACAAAGAGGAAGAAAGCTGAAGAAATGCCTGACAGACAAGCACTGCTGCCTTCTATGTAAGGGGGAGACTATACTTGAGGCTGCTGCGTTTCGGGGCTGCTGCCATTGTCCAGGCTGCTGTTGCCGAGTAATTTTATGCAGTTTCCTTGCTAAATAGAGATGCATTGCCCATTTCGCGGTTTTTCGCTGTTTGTGTTCTCTCTTGCGTGCTGCTGGTGAGGAAACTTGTCCTGCAGCATTGTGTGTACCCTCCTGCCCTTGCTCGTGTAGCGGTTGCTGCCAAAGCCTTGGAATTTTGATGTCAAACTGTGTAGCTGTTGCAACTGAGGTCGATGTTTTTTTAGGCTGCAGCTTCGGCTCCTGGGAGCCTCCTGTGAATGGCTGTTGACGGCAGCCGACACTCAGCTAGATGCTTGGTCGGGGAGGCAGCTTTTACTGCTCGCCGTGGAGATCGCTGCACCTGGAAGCGCAGCAGATGACCCTCAGCAACACCAGCATTGGGATTGGCATGAGGCATTGATACTGCAGCAGCAGCTTAACAGGGAAGACTATCCGAATGCTACTTCGGAGAGCCTCGAGTTGGGGAAGCAATCTGCACAGCCCAGCGTTGGCACTAGCGGTAGCAGTGGCAGCATACGCAACTCGAATGATGCATCTAAAGAAGATAGAGAACCTCCTACAGTTCGTTGGTCTCTTCATGTGAGTTTGAATTGTTGCTGCTGCTCGCGCTTCCGACTTATCCCTTGCGTCCGACGAATCCTGAGCAACGGTTTTGTTCCTCATCCCGCTGCGCTTCTATTGCTGCAGCGTTGCGTGTACCACCATCGCTACTGGAACCGCGTGACGTTTTGGGAGGAGGCATTAGCGTTAACTGTCAGTGAAGAACTTCAGCGTCAAAAAGTAAGCGCACGTGCTCTCGTGCAAGATCCCTCGGTCACCACACCCCCTACAAATATTCCTCTGTGCACGTATCGAAGCACTCGCAGAAGGACGGGCTCGCGGACGAAAGTGCGATTGTTGTGGCTTTTACAAATAGGCTTGAAAGTATACATGCGTGCGTGCAAGTGAAAATTTGCGTGCTTCTGCCACGCAGTACACGGCATATGGCTGCATTACTTCCTTCACCGAGCGAGCGCGCATTTTCGTCGTTTTGTGAGTGGGCTTGCTTCAGCTGTCAGAGAAGTGGCAGGCCGCGGGCCCAGAGGTCTTGCAGCAACAAGAAAAGCTGTTCAGGGAGAAGAACCCTTGCTGCAGCAGTCTCCCGTCGTTTGGCTCGTTCATGTCCCTGTATGGGATTGCGACCGAGCAGGTCCACTCACTGTTGTTATCAGTGTCGAAGCATTTGAATCTAGATGAACAAACGAGCGAAATGCTATTGCATGGGGTCTCAGGCGTTGTTGCTCCACAAAACCAACTGCCAGCTTCCTCGGTTGTCACCAGAAGCAGCAACAGCGGCGCAAGTAAAATATCCACCGGCTAGACAGTCCAAACCTGCGCTGCACAGATTTTTCCTAACGTGCTTACTGACTTGCTGCCAGCAGTCACTAGTGCTGGAGTAGTTCGAGCTACGAGCATACTGACTCGTGTGAAGGCAGTCTGCCCTTGGATTGCTGTCTTCGTCCACTGCAGTGAAAGTACATTTAAGAGACCCAAGGAGTTCTTCGGAGCCGTAGTGTAGCAGTGTATACATTCTTGGAAGGATGCGGTGAGGTTTTTGATAATCAATGCAAACACTTGGGCAGGAACAGGACATACGAAGCGACGTGTTCCCTGGTGATGGCGCTGCCAGCCCTTGGACAAAAGGGCGGCCTTTAGAAAGAACCTGTGAAGATAGGAACAAATGGTGCTAAGTAGGTATGAAACACAAAATGCAGGAGTCGAAGTAACATGAGAAATTTGGCTTCTGAGAAGGCTCAGAGGCATGGTATGAACCGCTAAGCCTAGCACATGCGAGCACGCAACATAGAGCCGAATGAAGAGCAGGCCCTAAGCAGCTGTCAAGCGCACTGGAACGCAGAACCAAACAAAAGTCATGCCGTTGAGACGCGGGGGCAACCGGAATGAAGAGAGCGACACCCGCGTAACGGCAGAGAGTCGTTACGGCTTGCTCATAGAGCAGTTCCGTCAGAGAGCCTATACTGCTTGAGCAGCAAGCGTTGGCAGCTGCCTGCAAGCTTGCCCGCTTCGTCTTTATTGGTTTTGCCAGTCTCGGTGTTCCCGTTCTTGTTCCGGAACAAGGCCTCCAAACTTTGTCACGTCGCGCTGCACCCAAGTACCGTCTTTCACGCTGACCAGTAGATGCAAATGAGATTGCTGGCCGTTTTTGTAAACGTTTATTGCGCCGTTCAGCAGCTGCGTGTTTTCGCGGCTTCCAGTTCAACTCACGTATAGTGGAGAACGTTGGGCTACCTTATAGTTTTACTAGTGTCCCAGCACTAGCACTTCCTCTACACAGCTGTAGGCATGCAGTTTCGAAGAATGCCCGCAGATGCTCACTGAACTTGGTGAGTTAAACGCCCAGTAGTTGAAGATTGCCGCTTCGACGTCTGGATTAGCTGAGCAAAGTGCTTAAGCTGTGGCCGACCAAATTCAGCTACGACCATGTATGCTAATGACTCCCTGCGCTGGTCCGCCTATAGGGGGTCAGCGAATCGGATGCAGTGGGAGAGTCAATTAGGAATCGACGCATGAAAAGGCTTCGGGATTTTCCGATTGTAAGCACCTTTTTGTGGGTGCTACAACTATAGAAAAACACAGGACAGCTAGCGTATGCCCCTCCGCCTTCTCGTACAGTTGATACTGTCGCGTCAGCACAAAGGTTCCCACCAACAGGCTGAATACAGTGAAGTAAATCATCAAGCGACGAGAAAAGTTGTGCCCGCTACGTGTTTAAGACCCGGCTTGCTTTTTGACAATATTGCAAGACGGCAGGAACCAGCAGCTGATTCCTTTTTTCGCCTGCCTTACAGGACACTTCATCCACGGTTCAAAAGAGGAAGACAGCATGGCGTCACAACGGGTAAAAGAATTCTTCTTAACTCATTATCGTTTCCTGCTGGCTTCTCCTGTCCGCAGTTTCTAGACATTCTCCCAACATCGCACCTGCTAGACACGTTAGACAACCTGCGAACGCGCGGAACAGACCGTCCTAGACAGTTTTGAATCATGCGGCTGGAATGTTGAGTGCGTTGGATTTTGATGTTTGAGATCATAAAGGCAGGCAACGAAAGATGCCGTATGTAGACTGAAGAGTTGGTGTGCATAGCTCACTGAGTATCGTTAAGGGCAATCACGAGAACAACCTTCGCCTCACCTTTCATGTTGGGTGACACCCACGTAAGCAGAGTGGCAACTTAAGCTATAGCGAGTGGACTGGTAGTGCCCTTGAACACGACAGCCCGTGGCCAGTCCGCACTAGTGTGTGTTCTTATGAACAATCCTTAGCAGGAGATTTAGTTTGCGCCCAGCTTGGAAACGTTCATGTACTGCAACAGCTCCCAACTAAACAACTTCAGTAGCTGCTAGCTACAAACTCTTCCGTACGGTGAACTGCACTGTGTACCACTCCGATATCACACCTACTTTTGACATGAAAAACCAAAAATGACCAAAATTAACCAACGCTGAGTGCAGCTGCATAACAGTCATGCTGTGTGCTAATATGCTGTTTATACAGGGTTCCGCAGCAGTTAACGCTGTACAAGTAGCGCCCTGCTACACTGGAAACCGTTCGCCGATTTTGGGGATTAGTGACACAGCTAACACCATACCGATACCCTGGTGCGTTGACTAGATATTTGCAGAAACCAATAATTAAGCTAAGACGCAAGCAGCGACCATAAAATCCGCAGATTTTTGATATATTAGTGGAGAGCAATCATGCCTTCAGCCGATACGAGGTTACCCTTTCTCTGACTGGTCATGGAACTCAGAGCTTCGGAAGACGCCCTCAGCGCCCGGACATTTGGACACGCCAAGATTTCCCGGAGTGTGAAACTCGATCAAAAGATCGTTTCTGGGTAAGTGGTGTACCCAGAGGTTTGTATGTTTCTGTCATGCGCTCAAGTTTTCCGTCAGTGGTCATGTGGTGACGCGGAGCCACTAAACTGCCGGGAGTTGCTGCTCGCGCTGCCAAACTAACTGCCACTAGTCTTGTCAGTTCACCCATACATGCGTAATTGCGTAGCTCATCTTGAAATGAATGTAACGATTTTGCTGTTTGTGAAGAAATTCAGTATGCTCTTTGTTGTTCTCCCTAACGCCTGGCTGCGCTTTCTAAGTGGTGGCAGGGGTGTAATAGCGCACAAGATGCTGCCAGCAAATACAGGGGCCCATAAGAAGATGCGCTTGCGACAGAAGCGCCACTAGACAGGAACAAAGCTCCGCGTCACTAGCGGAACTAACACGTAAGGAGGGAAAAGAGAAAGGCACAAGGCGGGACGATATGAAGGAAAACACGGAAAAGCCAGAAGGTGTGAAGGACAAAAGTATTGCCACGAAGCAAGAAACTTTACCTTGAAATGGAAAATCAAGGCCAAATGTCCCAGCCTGAAGAACGGCTCGAAGCGCGTCCTAATGATAGTCTCTTGCCCCGGCTAGTGCTACGGCTGCTGCGGCTGCTTTGAATGCTGCAGCTGTCGGATTTCGCGTAAACTTCATCTGTCGCCCTGGCTTGGTCTAGATTGGGCACGAACCTGCCAGAGAGACCAAGCAGATATACGGGAGAAGGAGCAACACAGTTAGCACCCGAAAGACAGTTGCCTCAAGAGCGGTTTGCATCTCAGCAAAGGGCAACAACGTGGATTGCCTTGGAGACATAGCAGCATATTTGCAAAAGCAGGGACAGCATGAGTCAAATAGCCCCACCACCAAAGCTAAGAAAGTCGTCAGTCTCCGCCTGCCTGTATTCCTCGACCAAGCTAAGTACATGCTCCCTGAGCATCCATTCAAAATGACAGCAGACGAGCGGCCTTAATAGAGTCCTAAAAGTGGCTTGTCCGCAGCAGCAGTCATCACGTTGCCTTCTTACTTGGAGTCTTCCATTTCTGAAAAATCGCCAAGACCATCAGAACTGCTGAACATTGGTTGTCGTCTGAAGTGACAAGACGAATGCACCAGAACTCGCCGCAGATTCTACTGCGGCTTCGCCTCTGGTGGATAGGCAGCGTCAGCACCTGCATCTACGCTGCAACAACTACGGTGGGCAGCCGCGGCAAAACTACTGCAGCATTACTTGTAATTGTCGAGAAAAGCCTTTCGCTTGAAAAGACGATCGTACTGAACCACACACCGCTCAAAAAGCTACAGCAAAAGCAGCAACAGCACCACGCGGGAAGACTGGAAATCGGAAATCAGAGCTGCGGGAAGGCGGAAATAGCAGAAACAGCCTAATAAGGACGCCAACGCCCCTAACACTGCCCAGGCGCAGCAGTGCCACCAAAAGCAGCAACGAACGAGTGACCCACAGTTGTAATTGCCGTGTGGTTGGCGAGCATCAGGCCCGCGCACTTGTGCTTTTGAGGGCTGAAGGGCGAGGCTCGGGCTAAGACGATCTGGGGAGACGCCGGTGCCCAGCGGATAAATTGCAGCAGCTGCCTCTCGCGGATGCGCTGCAAGCTCTTGTGAACCTGTGGCAACAAACGAAAAAACACCACGAATGCAGCACAGGCGCCGCTGGAGGGATGCAGACTATAGTTCAGACGGCGGCTGCACTGTTGCAGCCGTCAAACCGTCATGTCTTACCTGCAATGGATCTGCCTCGCCACGGATAACGTTTAAAAGTGACATATAAAGACCACGACGGAGCGATGTGGAGACCTGCAGTCTCAACAGCGAGCTCAGAGACAGGCACCCCAACTCCACCGACTGTAATGAAACACAAGCTTTTCCGCGTGCATGTAAGCAATCCATGTTGTGCATACACCCATCCATATATGGGGTTCCCCGACTCTGTGCACATGTGAATAGGAACGAATGCGCGCAGATACCAGCAGATGCTGCAGGGCTTTTAACGTCAGAGACTGCGTTGATACATGTTTGCTAAAAGACAGCATTCCAAATGCACTCTGTTTGGCACAAGGGCTGCTCGACGCGCAAGAGAAAGGGCTCCATCTTCCTAATGCGGTTCTTTAGCGGATAGTGCCTGCTAAGCTAGCAACCATCTCTACTCATTTGCTGCGGCTCCTGCGTTTCGTGGCCATGCCTTCCTTTCGCTGCGTGTATGCCTGAGTGCATAGGCACCATGACGTTCTTGGACTGGGTGAGGCGCCGCATGATGTCCATCACGGTCGTCTTCTGCACAGTCGAGACGCAGCGGTCTAGCGTCATTGGGGTGTATCCGCACATCAAGAAGTGGCAGCGGGGAACCGGGACCAAGCACGATAAAAGAGATAGTAGGCTTGAAGACAAGGAGGATGGATAACGCAAAGTCGCTGTGCACGCTGCCATCACCGTCGAAATCTGAGAAAAAACACGCACAGAGAAACATGTAGACAGGGGCAAGGGCCGAAACTGGAAAATAAGCACATCACGATGCATGTACTTACGCACTCAACAACAGACAGCCACAGACAAAAGTAAGGCCAACTGCAGGCAACGCAAGGAAAATTAAAGGCAAAGTGGATTGCAGAGATGCACTCTAGCAGAAACTTACGAGCTCGAATTGAGCGGAGCATCAATACAGACACGAGCTCCGAAGTACTGGTACACACGAAAATGAACGGATTACAGAAGTGATGCAATGATGCAAGGAACTGCTCGAATTATGACGCAGATGAACTAAAATAGGTATTGACAACAGAGAAGACGCATATTCGAAACTGCATGAGCATGAACGACGAAAATGAGCGGGGGCAGAGTGCCATTTGCGTACCAGAAGCGCAGCACTATTGTGTGTCGCGCTACCGCCTAAAGATGATGAAGGGATAGTTGCGTGAACACGAACTCACAAGGTACGTAGCACGCATATAGACACAGGTAGATACACACAAACAAAAATAATAATTGTTGGTCGCGGCTCTAGCTGCCTGATTCCATTTGGTAGGGGTCACCTTAGGCTCTTCTTTCCAAGGTGCTGGGCACCAGAAACGTGTGCATGCACTGAATTAAAAAAGAGCTCCATGTACTGTCTATGGAGGCATATGAACGTGGCTGTACTGATGCGTGGAGGAACATGAACGTGGCTGTACTTATGCGCAAAGAAAAGCACAGCCAGCTCAGAAACTTACCAAGGCATTGGTCTGTTGAAAGCTGGGGTTAGGGAGGCGCAGGCGGTCGGCTGCAACACGGTGGACTGCGTGGTTATCAAGCACTACAACAGCATCGCTTTGGAGGCAGAGGCGCTTAAGGGTAAGCAGGGCATTGTAGGGCTGTACCACAACGTCACTTGCGGCATCGCCTAAGACAGGAAAGACCGAAAAATTCTGCACCAACTTTGAGCCGTAACGGTCTCCCAGCAGCTCCAGCAGATAAGAACCCATGCCTGAACCAGTGCCTCCAGCCTGCAGCACTCGTGAGTCGCAAACCTTTTTCCTCAAACTATAGCTTAAACTCTGTCTCGCAATCCCTTTGTCGATAACCCCGTGGAGGCATTGCTCGTTTGACGTAAGGAGAAAGTCGTAAGCCACCAGCCAGTTAACATTTATATGCACCTCATAGAAAGGAATACAAACAAGGCTCTACGGACGGAATAAGCATATAACCGCAAATCAATAGTTCGCACAATGGAGTGGCACAAGACGAAACCCTCAAGGCTTTCGCTGCCGTCAGCTTCTCGGTCAATCATCTCCAGCAACTCCTCCTCAACCTTGGCGGCCTGAGCATACCCGCTACCCCAATTATTCCCAGCGCCTGAGCAGCCCAGGAGACGAAGACGCTGACACCTAGCCGTAGAATTGGCAACGCCTAAGGAGTGCCAAGAAGCGTGTTATACGAGTGTGAGTGTATTCCTTCGCCGCATCAGCTTCGAGTCCATGCTTCTCTTTCCAGCGATGTCCGCTATTGCTGTCTCATCTGCTTTGTATAATCATCTGCTCCGTGTAATCCAGTTGCTGCTATATCTGCGTCGTGTAATCCTGTCAAGGCGTTTCCGTTTGCTCGTGGCAGACAGATTTTCTCTGCTCTTGCCCTAATCCTTTGTCTGTTTGTGCCACTTTCTTCCTGTGTGTCATTCCCCTAGCTCTCCATGTTGGCTGCATTAAGCGACTACTGACCCTGGGGTTTACTATCACCTTTGGCGCCATCTGTAGGAGACACCTAGCTAGCTAGTTAGCAAGTACCATGCTTGTCATGAATCAAGTAGATTCCTTCTGTGTCTCTCTCGACCCACCACCGCCGTCTCTGGAAACGAAGAAATTTTCTGGGTTGTACAGATGACGATATTCTGAGGTCTGCAGTCCGTCAAACAGGCAAAACCGCGAAACTAGCAAGAGCGGCAATCAGCAGCAGTCCCGTCATGTTAATTGCCATCCAAAGGGAAAATGATTCGTTCCGGCTTGCGAATAGCCCATAGGTCGGTAGCAAAGTGACTAAATACTACTCCGAGCAGGAGATAAACGAGATTGAGGCGCAAAAAGGATTAGACACACACACAACCGGAAAGGCGCTGACGTTATTGACGAAGGCATGTAACCAAATCATCCAAGCGTCATCAATCCAATACAGAAGTAAATAAAGTACAGAACCTCGGGACCTCGGCAAGTGTGGATAATAACAGGCAAAGGCAAAGGAAAAACGCATGCTGCTAAACTACACCATAAACGGGAACTGTGAAAAGATACGCTGACACATAAGCAAAAGAGCCTGAAAGCTAGACGCAAAAGAAAATGGGCAAAGATGATAATGAACCCACTCAAGAAAAAGCGCAAAGACAGGAGAGCAATGACTGGAAGAAGATAGAAATGCCTATCCGTACTTTTCTTGGCCTTACCTGTAAGGCATAAAACTACAAGGATTAAGCAGGATCAAGCAAAGACAAGCATACTTTTGAGTCCATGTCAAGACATAGATAGGAAAATACAGGCCGACAGACCAAAGTAGTCGCCGGGAGGCAGGCAGACTCAGACATCCAGGCTCAGATATCCAGAAGAACATAAAATACGGTTGCAGATTTAGACTTTGGCAGCCAAAATCGTATGATCCAGGCAAACACGACAAACGCGTATACAAATCTCATACACTCCAGGAAGAGCCGTACTAAAGCGACAGAAGACAGACATCGACACGCATAGAAAGAGATGCACGCAGTAGGGCATGGATACACAGAAGAGTACACGAACAGACGACACAGGAAGACAAGCAGAATAAGAGGCCTATCGTTGAAGTCCACGGTAACCAAAGGTTAAGAGTCCACGGGAACCAAAGGTACACAGTTGATGAAGACAGTAGGAGAATCTGCTACATTATGAAAGAAAGAAACTTGTCAACAAACAATGTATCGGCTTGGTAACAGCTCCAACTCTGCTGCGCTTTAGTTGAGGCTTTTGAAGCTCCTGCTGCTGCAGTAATTTAGAGACCGCGGCAAAGAAGCATCCAAAGCAAACAGAAACGCCCAAAAGTTGTAGAAATCTACCGGTAGCAGCAACACCACAGCCATAACGAAGGTGCAACAGCAGTAGCAACACAGTGGCACAGAAGCTTTAGCAGTGTATTATTGTGTTCACCTGAATTGTGTTGATGACGCGAGGCTCTAAGTCGAAGAGAAGTGCTCTTGGTATATAATGCTCATCATCTGCCTGGTAGAAAAAGACATCCTTACGGTCTTCCGATGCTTGGGCCACGGGCAACAGCAAACCTTCCTAAAGCACGTGCAACATATCATCATGCGCAAAATGCAATGCTTGCAGCACTTGAGAAACTGTAACAAGTGGAATCAGTGCATCAGATGCACACGGAATGGTGTGGCGTAGACAGAAATATATATAGCGGTGTATTTTTCCGATAGCGGTGAATTGAGTAGGCAAAATCAATGGGAAACTGTTGACACCCAAAACCTGGCAGAGTGTCACGTAACAGGAGGCAGCCGCACAACGGAAGGCAAATGCACGAAGACAAAAAGAAAATGCAGAGACGGCACCACAGTCATAAAGCAGCCAAGGCAGAGCCGCAGAACTCATGCAGCAAAGGAAGGAGAAAACAATGGGCACACACAATGACAAGGAAAGGAGGAGACAGTGGACAAAAGCACCGGTTTGAAAATAACAATGCATGACTGAAGAAAGAGAAGGGAGGCCGCATGAACGGAGAGAGCATATGCCCACCTGGTCAATGCCATGCTCTGCGCACAGTTGTTTCCAGAACTCCATCCCAATTTGGTTGCCGCATTGACCAACCTGAATTGTAATCAGCTCCCGAGGCATCTTGCATACAACAGTCAGAAGGCACTCCTTTTGATGCCGCTGCAATGTTTACTGCTGTTGTTGCTGCTCTTGACGTCTATGCAGTTTCCGGAGCATGCACTTTCCCCGCCAGAGATATACAACCCGGGTCCTCTCTGTGTGACCTTCCTGCCAATTCTATTCAAGCAGCCCTGAAAATAAGAGGCGATTCATCATCCGAAGCGTGACTGTCGTGCCCGTCACATGCAGTGGTACTCCTGCAATTGCAGATGGACTGCTATGGCTGGAAAACTCAATAGACTGAAAATGGGCATTTCTCCCACATTTCTTGCTAAGCTTCGTTAAGAAAAATCCAACAATGCAGACGAACACTGAAGTCATCCGCTCATAAGACGCTGGGGCCCAGACAGCAGAGCACTAAACAACAATGTTGTTGGGGGTGGTGGAAGGGATCTGTTAAGCCCCGGGGGCTATTAAGCTCTAAACCGCTTCGACTTTCTAGAAAACATTGCATTAAATCGTAGCTTAACGTCTGATTAATGTAGTGAAGACTAACACGGAAGTTCCACGAATGCGGTGTAACCTCCTCTTCGGCTGCATCCGCTCTGGGGTTGCAGTTCGAAAGCCAGTTGCGCCATGTTCACCGAATAAAGCACATACACGAAAACAGAACATCTTGATTTTCTAAAGGAACTAATATTTCGCCCTTTTTGGAGCATATCCACTCCAGCTGCTTGTAGAACCGGTTTGCTGACAGTCCATGCAGCATTGGGAAAGGCTGCTTTGTAGACCATTCGAATGCATATCTGGCTGTGAGTTCGTCAGCAATACTGCAATAATAGCACTAGGATGCTTCCTGAGAGTTGATACAAACTCGCAAAACCTAAGGGAACTACCATGCGATGACCAGCCCAACGCCACTCTTCAGCATTTGCCCGCCGACTTGAAATAACACTAGCGCGTTGCAAGGAAACGTCCCCGCAAGTTCGGACGGTACAATCTCCCAAGTTCAGCTAATTGGTGCACAGACCCTTGAACATATATCCCCCATTAGTGAATCTCGTTTGTTTTAGCGCACTGCAGTGAGCGATTGCCTGCGAACACCGTTTGCAGGTCAAATTCATCACCAAGGCCAACTTGCCTGACAACTGTATATACGACTACAGCTACTGAATACCAAGTCTCATTGGTCTCAACCAGGGTAAAATGTGCGTGCATCTCCACACGCTGTATCCTGTCTCCTCCTGTGTCGCATATGCCTCGAATATATATAGATCGCAGAGAGCGATATGGAACAAAATCAAGATTGCCGTTTCGTGATCTACTTGCAAAGCTTCAATTCCTCCTTGAGGTCAATGTGTCATTTCCGGTACTTCCGTGTCTACTTCTAGGTAATCCCCTGTCGACACCATTAGAGAGCTCCTAGTCTCAGAATCGGTGTCTCGACCAAATGTGAGATCCCGCAGGTCGAGACTTCCAACGTATAGAGTAAATCATGCTCTGGAGTTGCACACAGTAGCATTCTACGCATTCTCGAATTGTTTACCCCTTTGATCAGCTCTCCGCTCTCCCCAAATTCCCCCAGTTGTAACCGGAGTGCTATAACTTCATTCTTCCCGAACAACACTCCAGCTTGTGATAGCCTTGGCGTCGTCATGTAGCTGTCAGCACCAAAAGAGGCCGCCGACGGACCTAGCTGCATCATCGGCAGGTCGGGAGGCCATCAGAAGCTTGCTTATGCTCGTAAGCGAGCTGTCGTGTACCAACGCGTAACTCAACCATTCGAGCAACAAGCGATTAGACGGTAGCAACAAGAAAATAGGCCTGCAGGATGCTGATGAATGCGCTCACTCAGGAATGTTAGCATGGGACTTGATGACGGATCTCATGACTTAGCATTTTCGGTTCAGGAGGCGTTTAATGCTTGGCAAAAAATTTCTTGGCAATGAACGTACTGAGGCCACTAAGACGCTTCGGCAGCAAGCCTCCGTCCAATCCATACAAAGACACTGCTAGTAGCTGCTGTGCCATCGCACTCATATCGGGTAGTGAGTGCTGCTGGAGACCTTATCTGGGAGTTGAAGTGACCTGCTCCGTGAACTGCTGCTGCCGCTGCCATCGCTGTAGTTGTTTCAACAGATGCCGTTTAGCAGCTGTTGCACTCAAATGCGTAGCCTCGATATATGGAAAAGTGATTCTTGGCTCGCCTTCTCTGCCTGCCACATAAATCCAAACCGCCAATCTCAAAGCCTCTCCCTACAATTCCTGAATATGTGAGAAATACGTATTTCTTGATGGGGAAAGATGGTGCTGCTGCAGCAGCAGCGACAGCAGCGGCAGCACAACAAACTTACCAACTCTTGAGGTGTTAATCTGGAGTTCAGAACAGCCACAATTTTTCCTTCTAGCCTTTGCTCCTCCTGCCTGCTGAACTGCTGCAACAGCAGCTCGACTTGTTGCTGTAGCAGCAGTAACAAACCGCGAACCCTCTGCAGTTCATTCGCTTCCCGCCGCCCCACGCTTGGAAATAGACTTGCCTGTGCAGACATTCAGCCTCAAAAAAACGCTGTAGCCCAAGCTGTAGACCCCAGCAAATCCAAAGCCATTCATTTTGTGCTCCAAAGAATGCTGTATCCCAAGCTGTAAATCCTAGCACTGGCATTTGGATGCCGCCTACTGGGAGAAATGCGTCAATAAATCCACGTGCAAGGTCAAGCAGCACAGCCAGCGGCAGTGGAGGCTCCTCTTGCTGTTTTTGTTCTAGCTGCTGCTGCGAAAAACCCTCCAACCGCTGCTCTAGTCCCACGTCTTTGCAGTACTGCTGCTGCAACCAATCAACCAATTGTCTCAACAGCGACTCTGCGGCATTCTGCTGCAAGTGCTGTTTTTGCTTCTGTTGCGTCTGTAAATGCAGAAGGCTTTCCGCTAGTAATGAGGGCTGGAAGTGCTGCGCATGGCGCAGCAGCACTCGCAGCAGCTGGGGTCTCCACTGCACAAGCAACGCCGCATTTTCCTCCTGTAAGCAAGGCAAATCCATATACGGGACAACAGAAGCTTCCATCATCGAGTTACACCAGCCAGAGCAGCAGACTCACTAATGACACAGACTACACGCACCCTCAAGGACGGACAACAGCAAGCGCAAGCCGCAGCCGTCTCTAACTCGAACTGTATCAGCAGCTCCACAACGGTGCGGTGAGGAGCCAATATCTGCGCATGCAGTAGCAGGCAGATTGCCTCCTCTGTAGGCAAAAAGACAGCAACAAAAACCGCACCGCGAAATGCAACCCGAGCAGACTGAAACATGTAAATGGGCGATGCAATTTGTAGTAGTTGCAAAACTAGAACTAAACGACACGCGCAGCAGCACCAGTCTGCACAGCTCTCGCTGCGACGGGCTCAAGGAGCGTCGCCAATTGTGGCAGCACAAGCAACAGCATAAGCGACAACAGTCTTACCCATCTGCCGCCTCGTCTCTGGAGATTTTATGAAGAGACCAAAGCTCTGCTGCAGGGTCTGTGGGCTCAAAGGTTGTCTGGGCAGCTGCAGCAGCTGCTCCACTATCTTCTGTTGCCGCTGGTTGAAAATTTGACGGAGCTGCTGCTTTATGAGTTTCCGGTGCTGGCCAACAATAACATTGCTCGAGATTCCGGCTGCTGCAAAGTTACCCGAAAAAAGCATCAGTCGCAGCAAGAATATCTGCGCCGTATACTCCTTCAGCGCTATCGGCAAATACATTGACGCAGGCAGTAATGGGCATTGACAGCAAATCCGAAGAACCAAAAGAGGATCCGATATGGTTCAGCAGCAAAATGCTTGCCATTAAGCCAGCTTTCAGCCCTAGAAACTTGCAAGGCAAAGCCCACCCTGGCAGAAGAACAGCAGCAATTGGGCATCAGCGAGAACCACCCACCGACAGCTTGTGCCAATGAAGGCGCTGGTGAGCAGCAGCGTGTAATGAACGATTTCCCCTCACATTCCCAAAGCAGTGAAAGAGGCTGCTGGCGCTGCGGCTGTTGCTGGTGCCACATCGACTGGTACCATAGAGCACTAACCTAAGCAGCAGCAAGACAGGGAAAAGCAGCTCACATGAAACGTGCACCAACAAGCCAGTTCGCGGAATGTGCATGTGTGTGCTGATCTCCCTCGCACCTTATCTCACTCCGCCGGTACTTCTGCTCCAGACAAGGCCTCTACTTCTGGAGCAACTGCTGCTGTTGCTTGTCAGCTTACAGAGTGCACTGCAGTTGATGGTAGATGCGTGGTGTACGCTGGGCCAATGCGTGAAAACCAGCGGAGGTCTCGCAATAAAAAACTGCAGTAGCTCGTCCTGGCGTTAGTCACTCCCGTTTCCTGGGCTGTTTCTATTGCTGGTACTGCAGACCACTCTAAACAGCAGGCAGAAGACAGCAGGACACTGCCACCTGCTATTGTTGCTTTCTTTATTCCTTTAGGCGTTGTTTGTGCTAAAGGCAGTAAACGCCGGCTGCGCTTCAGGCAGCGAAGGCGGCCTTCAAAAGCGCGGTCAAAACCAAAAACCTGCAAGAGAAGCACAAGGTAGGTCATAGCAGCTTCGCGATACTAGCTTCCAGCTTTGTCTCTTTGATTGCAGGAAAAAATGGTGGCACGAAAGGCAGCTGCAGAAGTCACTGAATCAATTGTGCTTAATAGCATACAAGCAACTCTCCTTGGACTGAATCCACAAGCAGCACGGGATCGGCGGCAGCAGCTGCGGTTCCTGCTGAACCAAATGTTGCCTGCAAACAGCTTATGGAACGCGGGGCTTGGCCGCCCAAACAGAGTTCTTGTAGCACAGGCCCATCCTCACAGCTACTGTTCAGGCAGCTGCCGCTATTGTTGGCTTTTCCGTCGAACAATGCACCCTTCACGGCCAAGGAGCCGTAGAAAACACCTACCCCTGGTGCAGCAACCACAAGAAGCACCCGGTACAAATCCCCTGCACCTGAAAAAATTTTCGGCATGGACTGGAGCTGCACTGCTTCGATCTGCAGCGAGCCTGCAGCAGCAGCCGCAGCTGCTGCTGTCGGCAGCAGCAGGCGAGACAGCATCTGCTCTTCCAACGTCTTCGGCTCAAGCAACGAGCAAAGAAGGGCTGGGTGTTTCTCGGTGACGTTTTTGCTCTGTAACTTTTTCGGCAGCACCAAACTAATGGTGAGTACAGCGTCAGGGCAACGCTGCGGTAACTTCTGTTCCTGCTCATTATCGTGCTCCAGCTGCTTCTGCACCGTGAGCAACGGCAGCAGCTTCAGTAAATGGCCCCCAATCTGCCAACAGCGATAGCCAGCACAATGGTAGTACACAACGCAAATGCATAGAGCACCTGTCACTCCCTCATTCACCAGATTCCCCAGCGTTTCCGATGTTCCAGCTTGTGACGCCTACCTCGGCGCGCGCAGCGATCTTCAACGCTGTGGTTGGTAGGGGAAGCGCCGTCTGTGTATCGGTGCCGCTGCTCCTCTTGTGAGGCCTGAGGGCCACAACTTCGCCTGCTGCTGCACCTGCAACGATGAAGGTTGCAATGCCTGTTTCCGTTGCTGTGAAAGGTGCAACGAAGCAACCACATCCTGCGTCCAAAGATGTTCCATTTGGTAGGCTATATACCTCTAATATCGCATTGTTGGAAGCCTGAAGTCCACAGATGCCAGCAAAAACCACGAGGCATTTCAGGCAATATCTATGGGACGCAAGAGTTCACTTTTGGCTAAACCAGCAGTACAACGGACCGGTAGGGAGAGGGACGGAAAAGATGAAAATGGGGACAGCAGCAAAGCCACGTACTCCACATTTGGCGATGGTTTTGTTCGATCTCCACAGATATTCTGAGGGCTCCTCGGAGTTCAAACAGCTGTTGCGAGAAAGCAATCGAGCTGCCACTTTGCTGCTCCTGCCTGCCGTGTCTGACTCCACGGCGGCTACGCAGAACGCAGGAACCGGCCGCCATTCCTTCTGTTCGCTGTTTGAGGTTCCGGAATCAGCAGCAGAGCAAGTAGCGGGACCTTTGTCGCGGTGCTTCTTAGGTGATTTCTGAGCTTCCCCAGCACTGCTGATTCCCATATTCTTGCTGCGGCTTCCGCTGCTGGCTCTATGCTTGTTGCTGACTGCTGTCGGCTATGCTGCAGCCAGGAAGGACACCTTTTGTAGTCTGTACAAAGAAGCCGATTGAAATCTTGCTACCGCCACGAAGAGCACGTAATGATACAGAAAACACTGCTTTACCGTGCGCCAAATGATTCGATACTAGCATCCACCGCTCCTGGTGCCGCTGCCTCTATCACTAGTATTATGCTTCTATATTCGTTCGCCGTTCTACATTCACTCAGGTGAAATGATGCGTTTTCATTGTTAGAGCAGTTTCCGTGAGGAGAAATCGGTACAGGTGCCCCACACCAACGGGGCCCCGAGTACCATTGCGATTCAGCAAGGGAGTGCATGCGTGGCTGCGCAAGAAATTGATTAGTAGCTGGATGAAGAACTTCCAGCTGAAGTATCTACTTGCTTTTTTTTAAAGGCCGAAACAGGTGCAACACGGGCGCACATTGCGAAATTCGGGCGCGGCTGCAACAGTTGGGGCAGTTGAAATGGGAACAGCGAACACGGCGGCAGCATGAGCGACAGGGGCAACCTGAGGTTTCACAATAGAGCTGCTCCGCACAAACTAGTTCTTGCTGATGATGCAAACATCAGCTATAGCCAAATCACACTCCCCCGCAGCAGCAGCTGCTAGAGCAGCAAGAGCAGCTGCAGCAGCAATGGCAGCTACCGCACCGTTCGTACATGGTACGTGCTGCGTCTGGCTGCGTTCAACAGTTCGTTGTGAACCAGCGACAAGGGTTGCGAGGGGCGCACTAACGGGAGGAGCGCAAGCAGCAAAAGGAGCCACGCCAGCTGCCTGTGTAGCATCAGCTCGAACAGCAATAAGAACAGCAGATATTCGTCTGAACCGGACTTCCCGTGTATTGGGACTTCTGCAGGACCGTCCCCTTGGGACGGCCATGCAGTCACGGTGCCACCGGCGCTCCCTCGCACCAACAACACCTGAAGTGACAGTGCTGCAGGCTAATATGCAGCAAAGGGCGGCATTCTCTCCCATGCGAACACAATTCGCAGAACCCAGCAGCAGCAGCATTGATATCAAGAGCAACAGCAATGACTGCTCCAGCAGCACCAAAAATAGCAGTGTCACCACCAGCAGCGAGAGCCCAATATCTAAGGTGCAGCGACAGCAGCAACGGCATGTGGTCCATTGGAACGTATCCAAAATGTGTCCCGTATGCAATGTGAGTCCTGCGTTTGTCGCTGTTGATTCTGCAGTCTTGTAGTACTGTTCTTGTGAGAGCTGCCTTTGTTGCTCCATACTGCCTTGTCCAGTATGAAGGACGCCGTTGCTGCCAGGGCTTCTGCCGCCAGTCGGCGTTGCTGTTTCTGACTGGGGTGCAAGCGGTGCCAGCAACAGGAGAGCCTGTGGAAGCGGCTGCACCGACAACGCCGCTTTAGCAACAGCTGTGTCGCCGGGAACTGGCACAGTTACTGCCAGTCGCAGCCCACTATGAGCGTACAGGTGCGGCAGCTGTGTGCTGTGCCATCTGTGCGTAGAAGTCTGTGTCTCGAGGCCAAGTGGAGTATTTGCCTTCTGCGTGCGCCGCTGCGTGGCGATTTCTCATGGGCTACTCCGTTAGCAGCAGGAAATGCGGGCTCATTGGGTAAGCTGCTGCTGCAGTTCCTGCACCTGCCGCTGCGCTTAAGGCTGGATGTAGCTGCCCTTGAGAGCTTGCTTGATGGGCCGTTTGCTGTTGTCATTGTAGGCATATGCATGTGCTGCGCTACGCGGACCTTCGACAGCAGCAGCAGCTGCAGCTCGAGATCAATGAACGCCTTCAGCAACAACGTAAAACGGCAGAAGCGGAAGAGCCACCAGCTGTTAAGAAGCCGTGACACGTAAGCACTCATGCCGCTGTTGACCCGGGTGTTCTATATCCGTAGCCAAGAAGGGCAAGCAGTAGCAGCAGCAGAAGCGCTACCACCAGCCGTGCAGGAGCAGCCACTTGCACAGAACCCAGAGTTACAGGCGCCGGTTACAAAAACAAGGCTTCAACATGGAACGAAGCAACATCTGCTACACCACTCGTTCTACTTCAGCAGCCCCGGCATTTTGCGTACTGCTACCGCGCCGGTGCGCCATAACCAGTGTACTTAGAGTAACTGTGCACTGCCACAGTACAACGGGACGACAGCTGTCTGGTTTTGCGTGGGATGCACTTCTATTGATCGCCCGTTCAAGCCCCTGCAGCGGGAGCACTTGAAGCAGCGGCAGCTGCTGCAGCACGACCTGCTGCAGCACGAGCTGCGGCAGCACGAGCTCCAGCGGCACGAATCAGGACTTGACGAAAGTCATGGCGTAAAGAAGGCGCATTGTGGGCTCCTGGATGAATCTTTTGTTGAAAGGATTATATATGAATCCCACCTCATGCAGCGGCCGAAGCCCCGCGGCTCTACATAGAGATCGTATCTCTTCGGGGGTGCTGAAATTTTTCCAGTCATGCGTACCCTGCAGACACGTTTCGTTGCACCGTAAATACACCTCGTGCATTCAGTCGTTTAGATGCTTCCCAGCTTTTAGATAGGGGTAAACTGACAAACACGGCGAAAAACGCATCGACGAGATCTAGACTCCCGCAAGCATACGTTTCTGAGGTATACTTAAACGTTATGGTACACAACACTACATTTGATGTGACGTCATGGGTTCATTGTGTTCAATAAGCATTAGATTGCGGACCCTGCAAAGCTAAATGTGCAGCCATACGTAGGTACACACGAACGGAGACTGGTGCTGTGAAGACGAGGGAACAGAATCAAGCTGCTCGCTTGCTCAGCTGGTTAACTGTTAAATAATTTTCCACCAGCAGGACCTCCATGAGTGCTGCAACACTAGTTGGCGAGATAGGAGCCCAAGGATTCTGTCTCGTGTAGCAAATAGCAGCAAGCAGGGGATGAGTTATTTGTGGATATGCCTAGTTTGCCCTTTAGTTGGCCTTTAGCTAGCTAGATGTCCACCTATCCGTGTAGCTTGCTAGACCCTTACCTTTGGGATGATGCTCAGGAGATGTTCGGCCACGAGAATTGAGGCGACGTAATTTTCCGGGGTTCGGTTAAGTGACGTTAGCATGAGGAGTCCACCCTGTTGCAGCCGCGCTGCCGCCGCGGCAATTGCGGCTGCCTTGCGTTCCTTCCCCCATATATGCTCGATTACCTCCGACATCACTGCTGCATGAAAGTGACCACACTCCGACCTGCATGGGCACCACAACCCGTTGCTGTTGCCAATGTTGCTTTAGTGGCTATCCCTGCCCAAAAATAAGCAGCGAACAACCACACCGCAGCAGCACATAATACTACAATAGGAATTGCCGCATCTTGAGTACCTTACCGTTTCGGCAGAGTGCAAGCGTCTGCTACGACGTAGGACAGACGACTGCCCAAGTCAGGAAGGCCCTGTGAGGCTGAAGCAACAGCAACAGCAACGTCATCAGCAAGCGTCCAAGAAAAAAAAAGTGGGGCTGCGGCATTGCCCAAATCGCCAAGGCCAGTGGAAGGAGACAAAGTAAGAGCAGCAAAACAGCACTATGTATGTATCTGACCGCGCTGCTTCTGTCTGCGTCCCGCTGCTGCAAGGAGCTGCTCGTTAGAATCAAACCCGGTGACTGAAGCTCCTGCAGCAGCAAGGCCTTCGCTAAGAAGGCCTCCGCCGCAGCCTATGTCAGCGATGCGCACTCCGCATAGAGGCAGCTCGGCCACTTGCGCCTGCTGCTGTTGTTGCAGCTGTGGGAGCGACCGAAGGATCTGCTGGTAGATAGGTAGCGTCTGCAATTGCTGCACTAGCAAGGATACCCGCACTGGGGTGTACGCATGCAAAGCCCCAGCAGGACCTTCGGGGTCCCACCAATCATCGGCTTGTGCAGAAAATAGCTTTTCCTCGTTGTGCATTTGCTGACGATATTGCTCACTGCTGGGGCTGCCGCTCCCAGCAGTGGAGCTTGTGTGCCTGCTGAAATTTTTGTCGCAAGGAGAGCTTCTGCACTGTCTTTCATCGTTGCTATGGCGGCGGCCCCCAAGCACGCAGTTGCTCGTACCTGGAAAGCTCGGTAGTTTCGAGGACTTACTGTTGCTGCTCCCATTGCTCCAACGATTGCGGCCGTGCTTCTTGGCGCTGTTGAAGGATCTAGTGCAGCTGTAAGAATGTGGTGAAGAACTAGTGGCGCAGGCAGGAATAGCAGGAGCCGCATTTCTGGCTGCTTTCGATGCGGCAACCCCACTGCCGACGGAACTTCTAACTAAGAGAGTTAGAGAGAACATCTCAAGGATATTCTGGGCCTTTCTGGATAGTAACCGAAAATCTATGGTTCCAAAGCCCGAGATTTACACATGCAGCTAGGCTTGAGTGCTGAAGTTTAACCTATTTAGCTGTACGCTTAATACGACAAAAGTACAGGGCGGGGCTGCATGTGGTACAGCTGCATTTGCTTTAAAAGGTGCAGATTGTGAAAAAATCTTCAGAAATTTTGAATCCCTAAAATTGTACTGGGTTGAGTTAGAAGCCTTGACTCCATTGAGAATCACCGCATAAGAAGCGCCAGAAGCTTTCCAGATCCACTTCAGTGAACGCGGCAGGACGTCGCGAAATGCAGCAGAAGCCGCATAGGTTGCGGTACAAAATAACGAACATACTGGCTTATATTTGTAATGGAGCATTCTCACGATCGTAGGGGCTGTAGCAACGACAGCACGGGCTCGACTGCTGGAAACAGCAGCACGAGCAATCGCAGCAATCGCAGCAGCGATCGTTGTCGGACCTCGAGCGATCCGACCTGCAGGAACACCTTGGCGAAAGACATTGCTGACAAAAATATTAGTCGAGATAGTACTATTAGTGGGACCACGAACACTGTCAGCAGTGATTCCATTGGGTGGGCTGGCAGCATCACCGGCAATTACTACGTGCCTCCTCCGTGGGGCCTCACGAAAGCTGGGTATGACGCTTTGGGTACTTCAGCAAATATAGGCACACTGGAAGGTCCTGCAGCGAAAGCAGGAGGGACCGCAGCAGCAGCTGCTCTGCCGCATGCAGTGTTGCAAGTAATCCGTCAAGGAATCACTATCGAGTCTTTTCGTCTTGAGCAGAAGCCGTATTGGGTTATTGGCAGTAATGAGCAAGCAGACATTTACTATCCGCACCCGTGTGTCTCCAGACGCCACCTAGGTAAGCCACACGCCCTTAAATCGTAGCACATGCCTAGAAATTTATGTTCTGCACGTGGGAACAGCACTGCATCAACAGTAGCAAAAGCAGCAGCATCAATGTGACACTGCGTAATTGTTGTTGCAGTTCTTCAGTACAGTCAAAGCGCTCCACACAGCCTTTACGCTGTGGACTTGGGCTCCTCTTTTGGCACTTGTTGCAACGGCAATGCCCTTCCCGCCAGACAGCCCCTCTTGCTGCTCGGGCCTGGTGTCCCCGATGCTGCTGCCTCTTTCGTCCCCTATACGCAGACCGATTCGGACAGTGTTCGCAGCAGCGACAACGCCAGCAGCAATACCAGCAAAGCGTTGCTGTCTGGAGATGAAGACGACGGGGATGAAAGCTGCGTGTTTGTCTTGGGCACGCCAGGAACAACCAACAGGTTCATTGCTGTTGCTCGCGCTACAGTACTTGCCTTTGCTTGCGTGCTTCAGTCTCCGCAGCTGCTGCCGATGCTGTACTGGTTGCACCTGTCCTGAGTTGTGTTCACTGTTTTCACTTTTGCAGATGAATTTGCCACTTGTGCTTCCCTGTATTGTTATTCCGGCTGTACTAGCCTCTTAAGTGATGCTGCTGTCACTGAATACCTTTACTTAATGTGAGTTACTTTTGCTCCTGTTGGGTGTTCTTGCGCTCTGCAGGCTGTTCGTAATCGGAACTGGCAAAGCTGCTGAGACGGCACTCACACTGACAGCGCAACCAGCAGCAAGAGCAACGAAACCAGTAGTGGCAGCGACGACAGCTAGAACCAAGGCAGCAGCAGGAGTCGCCCCTGTCAATGCAAAGACAGCCAAACGAGAGTTGAAGGAGCAGCAGGAAGAAGCGCGATTTCTGCAGTTGGTGCAGCAGCAGCAGCAGCTTGAGGAGAAAGCAGCGACCGCCGCTGCTGCAGGTGATGAGGCAGGTGCAGCGGCAGCAGAGGCGGCAGCAGAAGCGGCAGCAGCGGCTGCTGACGCACTGCAGTGGCAGCTTGACAGCAGGAAACGGCGAAAAGCTGAGGCATTCTTCGCGGCTGCCTGCAGCTTCGATGAGGATGACTCCTTCTTTGACAGGACGGCAACAGCAGCAGCAAATACTAGTAAGGGGACGCAACAGCAAAGTAAGCCTCTGGATGAGCTGTCTATCAAGGCAGCTTTGAAGTCCTTGAGGCAGGAGATAATGGAGCTTGAACTGCAGAAAACAAAGGGCGCTGCTGCTGCGGCGATAGCACAGGGACCAGCTGCTGCCGCAGTTTTAGCAACGAAAACAGCAAGCGCGACTGCAGTAGCACAGAGAATTGCAGTCTCGACAACAGCAACCGCAGCGGCAGATATAACGACGCAACCTGCAGCTGCTGAAGAAGAAGAAGATTGTTTAGACGCCTTCATGCGGCAGACACACGATGCACTGAATGCCGAAGAGCAGCAGAAGTTGCAGCAACAGATCGACGCAAAGCGTAAGCAGCTTGCCGAGTACAGAAAGCTGCTAAGGGTTACGAAAACCTAAAAGTAATGTAGGCTTCACTGCCGTGATCTTGGTAGTACTCCTGAGGTAGCAGCCACCTTTGCTGTTGGGGTCACCTCCACGTTGGCTACTGCTGTAGACTGAAGCAGCAGGTTCTCCTTCGAGGAGTTAGCGAGTACTGTGCTTGTCACAGCCCGTGTTTGAAGTACACTTGTTTGCCATGTTCCTAGTGCTGCCTCGGCTGCTGCGGTAGGCGGCATTTGGTTGCCTTTTTCCTCTCGTTGTGGGCATACTTGGCATACTTGCTTTTGGTCCTCACACAATCGCTATCGCCTCAGGTGTGCAGTGGCTGCGGTTGTTTCTGCTGTAGCCCTCGGTGAAACTGTTGCTGGCATAGTTCTCGCTCAAGCCATTGTTTATATTGTTTGCACAGCACCTGTTGTACTCATTGTTGGAGCTGCTGGTGCCTTTGTGCTATTCCTCGGCTGGCCTGTGGCCGCTGACGTAGGCATGAACTGATCCCTTCAAAAGTGAAGAGTGCGGCATTTTTGTAAGCTGAAGAAACTGCGAACGACAGTCCTTGAAGTGTCTGTGGTCTACAAGTTGGAGAACTTTGTAGGTCGGAGTGCAGATTCATCTGCTGTTTAATGTGTTTGATGTAGCTAGTGTCGAGAGGGACCTTGTAAGGTTTAGCTGCATTCTGACAAATGTGGGCCGATGGAGACCTCTCGCAACGGTTTTCTGCGCTTTGACACTTCTGAAGTTTACAGTACATCGAGCGGGACGTAGGCTGATGCCAGCTCTACATTGTCACTGCACCCCGTCTGAAGTGGTAGCTTAACCACGGCCTTGTTGCTCCTGAGTAGGCCAATATTAACATTATGATTATTTGCGCTGGCATGCATTGCTACAGCTGAACTTCCGTGCCCTGTCGCGGCAGTCGATTGAGATCTTGACACTGTGGTTCTCCTGCTACTGGTGATCCACCACGTCGATCGGTAGCCTGTTGAGGCAGTCTGCCCCTCTTCGTTCGCTTTATCTTTCCTTCTTCAGCTTCAATCAATGCAAAAGCAAAAAGGGCGAGGAGTTGCTTGCCGGTCATTTACTCATGGCGGCTTCTGCTGCGCGACACGTGACCGTTGCGGCTGGAAGGCAGCTCCAGCTGCGCGCACGTGATGACAGTATTCTCCTCCGCGTTCCCCCACATCTGTGTTGAATTAAAATAAGCGTTTTCGTTTCTTTGTGTATTCTTAAGTTGTGCACTTATTTCAACTGCGTTTCCCCCCAAGGTCTACTCTTGTCGCGGACATCGTCGTCTAAGGCCTGGGCTAAAATGATCCCCGAGCACTGAAGGCGCCAGAGAAATGCCGGCAGAGACTGACAGCTATTCTCTTTCTGGAAGTCTTTAGGGTCCATCTTGTGCCGCGCATTTACAGATATGAGGCCCGCCTGCCTATTTGTGCTTTGCGTGCGGACGGCTGCAGCAGCGGCAGTAGCAGGCGTGCCAGCAGCAATAGCTTCTCCACAACCATCAACAGAAGCAGCAGAGACCACAGCAGCAGAAGCTTCAGCAGTAACTCTTACACTTGCAACGACTACGGCTGAGGCAGCGACTGACCCGTCAGCTGGGCGCCTCAGCGGCGATGCTGAAACTTCTCCAGCCAATGCAATCCCAACTGCATCTACAGGCCCTGAGAACTTCAACTTGAAGCAGCAACGTCAGATTCCAGAGTCAGCGCTAGAAGCGCCGATCTCTGCCAAGTCCCGCGAAACTCGACTGCCCTCTCGCCCGCGGACTATTTGGAGGAATGTTGTCAAGGCAATCACAGCGGCTGCGGCTGTTCTGTTAGTGCTGATGTATCTGCGGAAACAGAATTCGCAAGAAAGGCGCTCGAAGGAAAAGGAATCAGAGCAATATTCGCAACCCAAGCGGAAATCTGAGCAAGAGCAAGAGATGCTGCGGGGCGAACAGCAGGTGTTTCTGCAACAGCAGCTGCAAGGACGCTTGCAGGAGACCCAAGGACAACAGAGTGCACAAGAGGATCAGCATGTGAAACACCTGCAGCTAAAAGGACATGAGCATTTTCAGCAGCAGGCGCACCCTCAGCTGCTACAGCCGCAACAGCTGGGAAGTAAGCAGCGTCAAGACGCCTGGTTTGAAGCACACCCGTTGCAGCCGCAGCAAGCGCTACAGCAGCAGAGATGGCAGCCGGAACTGCCCCAGCTACAACCTCAGCCCCTGGCACCGCAAGAACTTCCCAATATGCAAGCGCAAGTTCCGCAGTTTCAACAGCTCCAAGAGGACCAGCGGCAACTTCAGAAGCCCGGACAACAGCTACAGTTGCAGCAGCTGCAGCTACAACAATCGCAGGAGCAGCAGGAGCATTTGCAGGAGCAACTGCAACAACGCGACAAGCGAGAACACGCACAACAATTGCATCCCTGCTTTTCTAGGGGACAGGTACGCTAGGGTCAGCAGATGCAAGGATATCTGCTGGGTGTTAGTGCATATTCTCTTACTCATAGTCCAAGGAAGAGGCCCAGGGTGGCTAACAGTACCTTCAGATCTGCCATACCGTCTTTTTTCTAACTTGCCTTATCGCATGCATTTGTGACACCCAAGGGGATTGCGGCGGCACTTTTGCGAGCCTCACCTGCTACGTGGCCGTTTCCGGTGTCAAGCATCTCACAATCGCCGATGTTTACGTGTATCTACATTACTCGCTGTATGCTGGCTGGCAAAGCCAAGTTGCTCCTTTTTTTTTGCACGTGAGCCGCTGTTTCTGGTCTTTCTATGGCACTGCTGCAATGGTTCTACGTAACGCATGGCGTAAATAATTACCCGCGATTGCCATTCTGGATGCAGACAGTGAGCTGGTGGGATTTGGCGACAGCAGGTGCACCAACAGTGTCAGTATATGTTCAGAATATTGTACATCTACCTCTATGCACAAAGTGGGTGCAGCTGGCTGTACAAAGCCAAGGGCGGTATAAGGTCTATTTGCTGAGACCTGCCGCTGTTACTTTCGCGCCGAAATTTATGCACTTTTTTCATATTAAATGCTGGAGGCTCAAAGCGTCTCGGCAGCAGCAGTTCAAAGCACACTGCACTGCCTGGAGAAGGGCCTTACAGCATACTTCACTGGCCCGAGCTTGGTTGGGCTACTGCCCACCAGACATGGGTTGAGTTCACTTGAGTACGATGCTTGGCGCCCTTTTAACGAAACCGATTGCGCACCGTCGTCACAGGCATAGCAGTATGACGGTTTGTGAGAGGGCCTTCAAGGGTATCATTTTGCTGTATCTGAAGGCTCGCAGTGCGCGTAACTGAGAATGCTAAGCATACAAGATGCTACGAGGGACCTATTAGTGCTCGAAGGCCAACCTCCGGACACGGTGCACAGCGCTTCGAAACTGCTGAAAGGGTGTGACCAGCAGGACAAAGCTGCTAGCTGAAACAGAGCAAACGAAATCACAGGCCGGATAGGTCAAAGTGCAGATTTTTTAGCACAGATGCCGCTGTGCAAGCCGACAGCTATGGGGTGGTTTTGACGCACGGCTTCATAAGCATGGAAGCGCTGCATTGTGTTTAATCTGAGTCTATCATCCTGCTTGACCATCTGCACCATTTCTGATCAGATGCAGAAGGGAGGTCGCACAAAGTCGGCCCTCCAGGCATACTCTTCCCCCTCTCTGTTCAGCACACGTATCCTGGAAGTGCCACTGACGGACGTCCTCATTCTTTCAGTGGCTAGGCAACCAGCGGACCTTACGCAGCTCTCCTGCTCAAGTGGAAGTTAGACTCCAGATATTGGGTGAAGGTGGGTGAAGCACCCACCTCCACCCAATGTCTGGATTCTCCTTTGTGCTGCTGCAAAAGAAGATCTGGAGACGCTACTTTGTATGCCATGAGCAAATGCTGTCTTTGTGTCGCCTTGAGAACCAGTTGTATTCTATCAAGTGGTTATGAAGACCAAAAACCAACCCATAGGCAAGCCATTGGATGCGTGATGCTTGCCAAGTAATCTTTGAGTTCTTTGCATCTAGACACTACCACGTTGTCAAATACTGGAGGCGTTTGCCGCTTCCGAAAGTCCGCATCTCCTGATTCATGGACTCGTCATGTTGACCATTCAGCAGTTGCTTGGAGACACTGGCGCTTTAAGTGGATGTGAAGGCGCCTGTTAAGAGCTAATGTGGTCAAGCGCTGCGGTGTAATTTTGCAAGGACAGGCTTGTTTTACGGTTGACGCAACAGCAAGCGCCGGGCTCTGATCGCTGCCACCGACGCTCCAGTTAGAGGATGTGAGTTTCCCTGTGGGCAGTTTGCAGCCTGTTGTCTGATATGTAATCGTATTTTATTTGGCCTGTACCACTACACCGCAAGTCTCAAACGCGAATGTAATGCGCACGAACTTGCCTTCAGCTGACAAAGCCTCCCGCAATGGCCAACACTATAACGACAGGGACATCAGGTAGATCGTGTCCGGACCGTCTACTGTTTAATACCTGCGCAGAGTGCTACAGCGTGCGTTTGGCGAAAGGGCGTTTTGCTGCTCATTTCAACTGGCACCACCTCATGCAATCGAAAAAAGAGTTCAGCTCCAGTTTGATCCCCTCTGTGACACTAGTTGCGAGCCTACGGATCTGTCCTCACATTTTGCTTTTGTACCTCCTTAGAAGCCTGTTGACTGAGCATGGCCCAAATTTAGCTTGCGTTTCTCGCGCAGTGTTTCTTTTTCAAAGACAGCCGTTAACACACAACTGTGTGCGTGCGTGCATTTGTTGCATTATGGGACGCGGTACGAAGAGCTTAGGGCGGGTTTGGGTGTTTCTAGGCAGCGTCAGTTTGATTGCAACAAAACAAGAACTCAGTTGACCAGGTTTTCCTGCCTGCTTGTTCGTACGGCTTGCCAATGGACTGCAAATTTCATAGTCAAGTATCTTGATTTTTGTCGATGCTCTGTGTACCATTGTAGGCGCGGATCCGCTATAACGTTCATGGGATATTAAGTTTTCACCAGAATATACAGAGCCCGCAGGGCCTTTGGACACTTTGAAGCGTTTCTAGAAAGGCAAAATACTAAAGGGGCTGGCATTGCTTGCTCATTTGTGAACTTGGCGGCCCCTGCATGAATTTCAGCTAGTGCGTGTTTTGATCAGTTCTGGTTGCGCACGCACCGTGGACTTCAACATATTTATATACCCGCCGCGCACAACATGCCCTGTTGAGAAATATTGAAATACTGTTGCCTTCATTGGTTCAACTAGACGAGTAGTGCTATTCAAGTGTTACATAATGGCGCCCGTTAGTTCGCTTTGTATCTTGAAACTGCTGGCGTTGTACAGACTCTCGGCTTCAACGGGCTTTTAGATGAACTAAATGTGCGGATCTTCCTCTTTCTGTATATCTGACTAATCGTTGTGCTGACGCATCACTTACCACTTTAGGAATTATACTATCTTCACTAGCTTTATGCGTCTGAAGTTACCAAACGACGAAAACTGATTACCGAGCGTAGAAGTGCTTTACAAAACTCTTTGGGCTTTTAAACATTTCAGTGCAATGCGGACCAGCACTGCTGACGGACGAACAGGTAGTGCGTGCTTTTCCCACCATGAGCTGAGTGTGCTCTAGTGCACCATTTTTAAACCGAATTGTTTCTAAAATATGCAGTGAAGGCGCCATAGTTCCGGCCGCGCTAATCTCGTGCTGCGGTTCAAATGCCCAAGGCCAAAACTTTCAAGCTCCGAAGAACAGCATTTCAGCATACTCGGACAAAGCGAAGACGTCAAGCCGAAGTCTCCCTTAAAGAAGGTGCGCACTTGACTTTTTGAAAAAGTCATTTGTTCGACTTGCGAGCCTTTCAAGTTTGCAATCTGCACATATTCGCAGCACGCTAGGATTCCCTAAGCTTACGCCTGTGCGACAGCGGTTTCCTGTTGCTCTGGCCGTGTCATCGCGTTAGGAAATGCAGGATGTCCGTTCAAGGAGCAAACAGAAGTCAAACGGCAAACTTTCGTAGCTGTACTTGCGTGCAGAGAGCAAGCGCAGCCATCCGCCTGGCCGGCCGCGGTCTCTTGCTGTTCTTCCAGAATTACTCAGAGTGCCCTAAGCATGCTGCCTTGTGCTGCATCAGTTTGGTTGTTCACGAGCGATCAGGCAATAGCAAGGATATGGTGGAGGGGAACTTCGCTTTTTACAAGCTTTGGGCTGCTGCTAATGCTCATTGCATTGACCTCGTAGACAATTAATACGCAGAAAGTTCGCTCCTTTTAAGCAGATTATTTTATTGAGCTATTAGCTCAAGACTAATGTAGAACCGAAACGCGGGCTTCAACGAGCGGCACCCCCGGAGCGCTGCGAATAGGCTTTTTACGTTCTTGTTCGCCGGATAATGATGCGAATGCTGCAAGAACATACGGAGTGCAAAGATCCTCGGATAGTCGAATACGCCGAACGCTGTTCAGCTCTTTGGGTGTAGGCGGTAAGCAAGATAGGTTGTTTATTTTGCAATTTTCCGGCAGATGTGGCTGTCGAAGCAATGTTGCGATTGGTCAGGCAGCAAGACGGTATCCGCGAATTCATCTCTGTAGAGATTGCCGTTGTACGCTCAGCAGAGTGCGCACTTCTACACAGCGAATTATCTCAGTTTTTGTGCCGTGACATCTAAACAACTGTAAATGTCGGAATGTGGGTGCAGAGCGTGAGCCAGCACTGGGTGCAGCTATCACTAAGGCGTTCTAGCTGGATGGGAGAGCCAACCTTTTTCAGACCCTCTTTGTTCTCCTGATGAAGCAGCTTCGCATTTAGTTGCCGTATAATGAATTAGCGTTATTCGTTGCAGGTTTGTCTGACTGCGGCATCACGTTACACGGAGAACCAGTGTGCTACAGTGATAGCCGTGTTCTACTTTATCTTGGATTTACGGCCTCCCGCGCATATATTTAAGTGCTACAGAGAGTCTCAAGGATTTGTGGTGATGCCTACGGGGGCCAGTTCACTACGAAATATGCAGTAAGCAATTTGCGAAGCCACTGAGAAACGCTCCTGTTTGTTCAAGCGTGTATGTAGCAGTTTTGGCCAGCACCGCTCTATGTTATGCTGCTTGTAGCTACTATTATAGAGGACTGGCTAAACAAAGAATGCGACCTATTGGAGATTTTTGTACTCGGTTTTCAGGTTATACGTTTCTCCGCTCATCACTGCTTTGCACTGCGTTGACGTTGTGTTGAAGTCGTCAGGCAGGAGCCAGTTCTTTCAAGATGTGCGAAAAACGAAGGCTGTGCGTTATGGACGGTTTTGCACCCTTTTTTGAATTGTAATTACTGGAACTCAGATAATTACTGCACGATCATGACAAAGACACATCTAGTCGGCAAAGACAGAGAGGATAATTTGTCGACACAGCTCTAGAAACATAGTGATATTTCGGAGCCTGCATTTCTGCGCAGGATCCACAATTCAGTT